ACTTCCATACAACCTAAAAAAAAAATTATAATTGGTTTTGATTGGCCAACCGTGGAGGATGGATCATGTTGGTCATATGATCATTTTTAATTGGTCGATTATAGGTGCATGATCATGTGGATAGGGATGTTAAACAGCTTGGTTTGGTCAGTTTTTGAGTCAGTTAGAGTCGAGTCATTTAAAGTCAACTTTAAGTCGACTTCAATAATATCATATGATATTTACCAAATTGAAAGTGATATGCATATCGATGTCAACATATGCAACAATTAAGTTTATTGTTATCAGTTTTATCTTGATTTGTACTATTTTACATGATTAAAAACTCAAGTTGAGTCTGATACTGACTCGACTTCTGTAGTCAGATCAGTTCAAACAGACACTTTAACATCCCTACATATAGGTGCATGAAAAAATTAAACCTGTAACAATATTTATTTTATACTTCGGACTTACACCGGTTCCCGGTTCCTAGTATATGATATAATATAATGTGGGGGAAAGGGGGTAACTTCTTTAATAAAAAAATATTACATAATAAATATCACAGCCTTAACTGTCTAAGTATATTATTTATTTACACGTATTTAAATACAGCAATAGTAATCACTCTAGCATAACCAACTAAAAAATTCAAATGCCAATAACAAAATTTTTTTTTAGGTTGTATGGAAGTGAGTTTATTTATTTGCATGAGTAATACAAACTAAAAAAGAAAATCAAATATTGTAAGTGCATAAAGATAGAAGTTTAGAGTTATGTCGTTAACATTAGAGGCTATAACGATAGAATGTTACTTGTTACATGTAAAATTATCATTCTCAGCATTTTTAATTAGTGCACCAAGGTCGATTTAAACTAGTTTTTGAGTATTTTCGCTTTTTCCTTCTTTTGTACGTCAGTCAAATTTTGTCCACTCTGGTTGGCATTTCCTTTTTAGAAGTTTGTATTACTTGAGCAAATACTGTAAGTGATACTGATGAAGTTAGAGCATTACAATAATGGCTGACTTTATCAAAAATCTATCTAACCCTAATTCAGCTATCTTGTGTCTATATAACTGTTCAATTTATCTAAAACAAAATACGATTATATGCAGAGTTGTTATATAGTGGTAACTTATTATGTATAAGTTACCAAAGTTATATAAGACTTTTGGCTAGCATTGAAATCAAAAAAGCTTAAAACTTAACAATAGCTTAACACAATTTGGTAACTTAATAAAATATGTAAGACAAATTTTCTAATGAAAATACTCTAAAAAATAGGTTTAAGTAAGGTACTCTAACCCAAATTAGTTTAACAGCACCCAACTTTAGATAATTCTCGAATTTAATTGATTGCTATAATTATATTAGCATTTGAATGATTAGCTATTCAAATTAATTTACAATTTTAACTTTCTTAAACTATAAGCGATACTGAACAATACAGCCTATATATAAACTATTCTGATATTACAAATTATGATTTGCAGTTTTTTTAATAGTGATTGACCTTATCACATTTTTTACAATGCCTTTTCAGTTTTTTATAGCTCCTTTGTTTATATACTGATTTGAAACGTTTAGTTCCAACTGGTTAATCTTTTCTACACCTTTTTTTAGAATTCTGCAATACAAACTCCCTATTTTCTTTATTACTATTAGTTTCATTCTTGGATGAGTTTTCAGATGATTCATCAATATTGTCTGTAAATTCTTTTAACAGGTTAATAAGTAGTTGTGAATTTGATCGGCTTGTTAAAGCTTTATTAAGAGCCTTCTTGTAAACACTATATAATTCTCCATAAACCTTTCTTTGCTAGAGAATAGTAAGACTCTCTTCAAGGAAATTATGACTATTTTAACTAAATGCATATAGATAAGAGATAGGAGAAGCCGTTTCTTCAGTGAATGTTTCTTTATAAAATTTATCTGTCTTCAAAAAAGATTCTTTAGACATGTCAGCATTATCATAGTACCAGCGAAAAGGAATTAGATAAATGTGAAATTTGGCATTATCTGTCATAAGCATTATGCGAAAATAATGTCTACAGACAATATCTTGCTGAATAGTCATTAGATATGAACATATATGCGACTGATTTTTTAATAATACAATATAATGTTTTGTGGTAATAGAATTATCAATATTCACAAACCATATTTCGATTGTGCTGTTCAATCCTCTTACCAAATAAATAAGCTTTCTTAGCAGTATTTGCTGTATATCTATCACTGATGCATCACGAATTTCTATTTCTTAATCATCACTACAAAGTTTCTATAGTTGTAATAAAATCATTAAATTATTTATAAAATAAAGCATGTATCAGAATTGTTAACTTATAGCAATTTGGTTAAAAGTTATCAGTAAATGATTATATAAGCTACTATGTAACTTACTGTTAAATTTTATACCAGTAACTTATAATTGCATATATAGTTACTATTAACAACCCTAGCATAACTAAGTGGACCAAAAATCTTAAATATTTACCTCGATATCATCATTTAGAAGCTTATTAGCTTCATAATAAACTGTCTGATTGATTTCATTGTGTTGTTTTTGTAACATTATAGGTGTAAGAATCCTTTCAAGACACTTATCAATTTTTTTAAATAAAAAATTTGTTTTTTCTTGACTTCTAATACAAGAAATTGCTAATTTCCAAAAATTATATTCCTCTTTTTTATCTTGCAAGTCTAAAAGTTGATAGATTTCACCCATTAATTCACGTAAAGAAACGTTTGAGCTGTGTAATAACTATTTTAAGCATCCATTAATGGATTCTATTCTTGAAGTTGAGATCATACCATCAGTAAATTTAAATCATATAAAACAATGGGCCCAATAGACCTTGTTGCGATATAATACTTCCAAATATGAACTAGCATCAGAAAAATTTTGACGGATATTTTCAAATCTTCTTTCAAATGTTTCCTTTGCAAGATTATTTTTGCATATATAAAAGCTTCAATAAACTTTCTGTAATCACTTGCAAGAGAACTCCTCAAATGTTTATTAATATTTTGAGTTAGATGAAAAGCACAATAAATTGAGTAACTTTGTAGAAATACTTGATGTACTGCAGAGTCTACCACAGAATCAGCATCCAATATTATGACTACTAGTTGTTTATTAGTTGCCTTTAATATCTCTTCAAACATCCAAACGTAAGATTCTGTACTTTCGTCTGGGAGAAGAGCTTGTGCAAAAAGAATATTATACCGATTTCGATTAAATCTTACAAACATTGATAACACCATATCATAATGATTCATTTTATGAATAACATCATTTAAAACACAATCTGAAAATTGTATCCAATGTTCAACTTGTTCAGGAGTCATCTATAGCAACTTTGTAAGGATATTATCTTCATCCCAACTCCTAACAACAATCTAGCGAGAATCATGTTCTTTTTGACTGTCTAATCAATTAGACATCAACAACACATCATTTGCTAATGTTTTAGAAGTAGGCTGAAACTTTTAAATAGCAACATAAAGGTCCTTTGAGTATATTGGCTGTGTAGGATATTTTCTTTCCAAAAACTTTTGCTACACTGTTGCTCCGAATTTACTATGAGAAGTTAAAAATTTGATATTGTCTATTATTTCGGATATAAACTTTTTGTTTTATTCAAAATTGATTATTTCAACACTCAGAACATAATTATGCTTATTAACGATTTTATTTATATATATATGAGAATCAGTGTTATTAGACTTGAGATATGAGGCATTGATAAGAAATTGGCATTTGATTTTTTTCATAGTTGAATCTTTTTTGACTTTGACTCATAAGAATAAGAGTGATCATACAAGTATGTATGTTTTTTTATAATTCTGTCTTCACAACTTACATGATCTTTTTTTATACGAAACCATTTTTTTTAGCCCACTCACTAACAAATAAATCATATGCATCCTATATTAAGAAAACCTTAATACTGAACAACTTGGAGCTTGCAACTTCTTCAGATGATATTAGTAAACTAACTTCTTTAGCTTTGCTAGCGTGTTCGATATGATTAGCATCAACTTTCTCAATCATATCGGCTTCTTCAATCACATCGACTTCCTCAATCATATTGACTTCCTTAATTATATTGACTTCCTCAATCATATTGACTTCCTCAATTACACTAACCATATTGACTAAGAATTTAAATTTATATTTTAATAAGAAAAAATTATAGTAACTTTATTAATAAAAGCAAACACTATCCAAAGAAAAAAAATTGACTTTTTGAGATGTGAAAAAATCTTGGAAATATAAGAAGGACAAGACCTAGAGATAAAGATTATTATATAAAAAAAGCTCAGAAGTATAATAAAGCAATATAATTATTAAAAAAAAAAAGAAAAATCTGATGCTACAAAAGAACTAGTGACTTGAAAAATGACCAGAGACACAATGACACAAAAAAAGAGACCTGGCACTGCAAAAAAAAAACTAAAGCATAAACAAAAAGACTTTGTGGCATAATAAAATCTAATGACATTATAATGGTAATAATGAAAAAACCTGGTAATACAAAGAGAAGACCTAGCAAAGCAAAAAAGGCCTGGTAATGCAAAAAAAACTTTGCACTACAAAATAAGACTTGGTAATGCAAGAAAGATCTGCTGATGTAAAAAAAAACCCCTAGTAATACAAAAAAAAAAGACCTGAAGATGTAAAATAATAATATAATAAAGACCAAATCTGATGGTATGAAAAAATAACTAGCAACATGATAGAAGGACCTGGCAGTACAAAAACAGAACTTGGTGATATGAGAATACTGACTATGTAAAATAAATGATCTGGTGAAGTGAAAAAATCCTAAAGTAAAATAAAATCGGTGGCATAAAAACCTGATGGCGTAAAAAAATCAGTAGTATGAAGAAACCTGACACAGTAAAAAATCTTACATGTAAAAATTCTTAGAAATATAAGAAGACTAATGTTTTTGTGACCAACGATATAAAGGTAAGTATAGAATGTATATTATTACTGCTATGTAAAAATGATTATACAATCAACAGTATAAAGTAAAATTTGAAAATTTACTATCGCTATTGTTGCTGCTTTATAAAAACGTTCTTGTGATTAATGACGTAAAAGTAAATTCAAAAAAATAGTATCATTGTTTGTTTATACTCCTGATACCCTAATATCTCTGATCAGACTTTAAAAAATTATGTAATGAGTATGTAATGATTAATGTATAATGCATTTTACATGTAATACAAAGGGGATATGCTACAGTGCATGTGCACTAAAATATAAAATTCTAAAAAAAAATAAGAAATATAACAAAAATCATGTGATTTTTTAGAGAGAAAAGATATAAAAAATTTAAAATTATATATAAAGACCTGATTAAATATATAATAAGAAAAAGAATGAAGGGTAAGCTTTTAATAAAAAAAAATCAGATAATAAATAATACTGCTCGAATATATTTGTAATTAAAGATGGTAATTAGTTTGGGCAAACCAGTTAGCTGGAGTTTTAGCCGCAACAAATATAAGATAGCTTAAACCGGTTTAAGCTTCAGTTTGATTGTTAAATAATTATGCATATATATGCAAAACTAGAATATATGCATACAATTACAACAATAAAAAAAAATAAAATTGATACGTATATAAGAATAATAAAGTTCATTATTAATATTAAAAATACTAATGTTAAAAGTAATAAAGAAGTTAGCATTTGAGCATAATTAGCATTAAAAGTAATAAAGAAGTTAGCATTTGAGCATAATTAGCGAATAAAAGTTTTAGAAAGTGATTAATAAAATTGTTAAAATTTTTTAAAATCAAAAATTTCTAGTGATTACAGACAATTACTATTTTGATAATTGTTTGAGTTTATATAAATTTAATAAAAGTGTTTTTAGTTTCGTTATTCAAAATGTTGGATACAAATGTTCCAGAAATAAACATTCAAGAAATTAATATTCAAGATACAAGTATTCAAGATATAAACGTTCAAGATACAAGTATTCAAGATATAAACATTCAAGATACAAATATTCAAGATATAAATATTCAAGATATATTCAATGGCCTCATTAGATCTGCTTTTACTTATACAGAATCTAATTTAGAAACCTCATCAACTTGCTCATTGCAAGTTGATTGTAGTGGACCTATTCGTCATATTAAAAGGAAAAAAAAATTGCAAATGGATAAATTTTTTAATCGATCAAAAATGTCACAAGATTGTAAATATTGTACGACTAAATATACTCCTTTAACATCTACTGGAACATTAAAAGAACATGTAAAAAAAAATCATTTCGATATTTATAAACAAAAAACAAAAACTGAAATTGTTCTTTATAATCGAAAAGAACAGCTTGAACATAATAAATACTTAATCAACTGGATAGTTAAGAGTTTACAACCATTTTCAGTAATTGAAGAAGAATCATTTATAGAAATGCTAAATAAATTTAATCCACGTTACAAAGTACCAAGTCGACATTATATTAGTTTATGTATTACAAAAATATTTCAAAATCGGCAAACAAATTTAAGTGAAGATCTTCAAAAAATTCTAGGAATGGTCACATTAACAACTGATATATGGACTTCTGGAAATAATTATTCTTTTTTAGAAGTAACTATACATTGGATAGATAGTAACTGGCAAATGCGCAAGTGTTTACTAGATATAATTCCTTTTTGCAAATCACATACAGGTATCAATATAGCAAAAGAGTTAATGGATCTATTAAAAAAATATAATTTAACTACAAAAATTATATCATTA